GAGAGAGAGAGAGAGAGAGAGAGAGAGAGAGAGAGAGAGAATATATACACATTTTGTGTGTGGGTGTCTATGTGTTTATGTATGTACTGTATATATAACATCTTTTCTATGTTTTGTATGAACTCAGAAAGCTTGCAATGTAAGCACAAGTGACCCACTAATGTTCTGCCTTTGTCTTTTGGTTTTTCCATAAAATGGGTGGAATTCTAATAGGAAAAGTGCATGATGGACTTCAAGCACCTAATGCTGACTTTACAAATTCTGGGCAAAGCTGAATTGTGCCCATAAGGCATAGATGAAAGGGAAAGAAATACAATGGAGGCAAAAGTGTCACAGTGAACAATTCCTGAAGCAGCTTTCTGACTTCTAATTTTTAATTTTTAAATCATTGTTAAAGACTGAAATCTTTCTTGATAGCAGTATTACAAACAATAATGCTAACATCAAACAGCAACAAATGAACAGCACCTAAATTGTGACTAAGTTCAGGAACTTGAATAAAGCCAGGAATTAGAATGGCAGTTGTTAAATATTTCTTCCTCCCAACTTTGTCATGATATGTTCATTCAGAATCCGTCCTGGGTAGTATTAGCTGCCATAGTTTTTGCTGCTGTTGTAGTTTTGCATGCTTTTCAGTGGTAGATCTCTATGCAGCCATATTACAGTGATCTTTTTGGTTTCTTCGGGATCTATAATATTCTAGTTTGAAATGAGATGGGTTACAGAGGTATACTAGCTGCTTTCCATTCCTTCTACATTAGTGATATCTCTGAAAAAAACGGTAATCCCTTTAAACTTGATATGTTTATTATATGCATATTTAAAAGTTTATTTTAGTGCTGCATATTATTAAACATATAGCATTCTTTTTTTAAAAGAAGTTGGTGAATAGAATATATATTTTAAACCAGTTAAGTCCTGAGCTTTTAAGTGAAGTTCTTTAAAAAAAATTAAGTACTGTCTTGTGCTGTTTTTGTGTGGGTGGTGTTCCTCCCCCCCATTTTTCTTTGCTTTTAAATGTTTTAACAATTGTAAGCCGCCTAGAGTCGTTGAGAGTGGGCGGCATATAACTTTAATAAATTATTCTTATTCTTATTCAGTACAATAAAAGTGGTACTACTTTGAGTGGAAAATAGAAGCAAAAATAGTATATAACATTTCCTACTCTCTCATTAGAGTTAGCAAAGGGAAGCAATTCATCTGAATGATGTGATCTTTCTTTCTTTCATCAACTGTAGACAAATGTTTAAAGTGCCTTTAAAAGGTTAGTTGATTAATTACACTGATTAATTGATTAAAGCTGGAGCTTCATTGCCACAACTATACAGACCATATGAACTAATATGGAAGAGATCTGGGAGAAGAAATGAAATTTCTTTACTCCTACTCAGCAAACTGTTAATAACGTGAAGAAAGTCAAGCAATTTTACACGCTTTTCAGCACTTTATACACTTCCCATACCACTTGGCATGGCATTCTCATGTTTCCATAATTGCTGAGAACTTTCTTTCCAGTAAAAAGTGTCCTTTTTTTCTTTTTCATAGAGTGGATTGTATGGCACAGCTGATGTGCAGGCAAAACTTGAAGTGAGCATGTTTGAAACAAAGTCTCCCGAAGCAGTGGGGTCTGTGGTCTGCAGCTCCTCCTCCGAAGAACCTTACAAGAACTGGATTGATAGGGTTTGTCCTCTGCCACTGATAACCAAGATTTGATCCATAAAAGTTGGCAGCTTTGTGAGCAATGGGAAAGGAGCAGTTTTACTTTAACTCTAGCCATTGAATCTGAAGAGTAATTGCCACCCTGGAAAGGTAATTACATATGCTATTGTTTATACACATAATAGGTCTGGAATGCATGTTCTGCAGATAGAAAAAAGAAAAAGAAAATCCTGCTTTCAGATTGGGGCGGTACACAATGTATAGTGACAGAATGCCACAAATAGCATTCATACCCTTGCATGTTAATGGGTGATTTCTCTTGGTGTGTGTGTTTAAGCAGGGGGGAGAAGGGATTTGGAGCACGAAAGGGGAGGGAAGGCGAAGAAGGCTTTTTTATAAAGTACCATGTAAATACAAGTGATTTTCCCCTCTCTCGCTCTTCCTAGTTCCCTTTCTCCTGCTGTCTCTTTCTTTTAAAAAGAATCAAGAGAAATGTTTTTGAAGCTTCAAAGGGATTGCACTGTTCTCTTACCCCACGGGAATATTAATTACTCCCAAACTTTTAAAATTTCTTGAACAATACCATATGTGTTTGTAAAAGAAATTACATAGAAGGCTGTACTAAAGGGGTCTTGACTTGAATTGCCCTGAAATTGGACCAAACAGTTTGACAGAATATTGGATAGCAGTTTGAAGCATCCTGCTGTGTCTGGAGTGGGACACCACACGTGCACGCGCACACACACACACACTGGATGTTGATTACCAGAGTGTCTCTTGCATCTATTTTATTTGGTTATTTAAATGCATATATTGGAAATAACATATAGATTTGATTGCCATGATACGTCCTTTCTGAACTGTAAACATGCCTTTCTCAAGAACAAAATTTTATATACATTGCAGAGAATGCTTCAGAGTATTGTAGGAACAAGAATGGCACAAAGCCAAAAATTCTTTTGTATTTTAATATTGAACCAAGCATTGTTAGGGGTTGAAGCAAATCATCACGGGTTATGCTCTGTCGTGGTGTCCAGCAAATTGCATGACCAGCTTGTTAGGCTTGACAAGAGCCCTTTCCCTAACAAAAGCCTCAGCAACTCCTAGCAGCCATGGAATGTCAGAATGAACACATTTCACACACAGATGTGTGACCATAATGGCTGTAAGAAGATGCATGTGGTGGAGAAAAGGGGGAGTGGGTTGGGGAGACTAACAGTTAGCAGTGGGGACCCAGCCCTGTTGACCATTTTTAATCAGTGCTTCTGTAAACAATTCAACATTTTCATTGTTCTCCAAAAACTAATAAAGAGAAACAAGCACTTTTCATTCATCTTGAAGTAATTTTCTGTCAGGTTCAAGCCCCTTGTGGCCTACAGCTTGTGCACAGCTAGCTGTGTGATACAACTACTATTTCAATTTATTTTACAAACTCTGACCATTCAAATGTCAGCTAGTGTTCACCAAGCCGGCATCTGAAATTGTGCAGTTAACGAGTTTTACAACACTTCTATCAAGAGAAACTGTTTAGCATAACTGACTCTTAAGGAGTTATTATACCTCTAAAAATCCATTTTAAGGGGCATTATTTAAATAAAATAGAAAAACGGTTCACTGCCTTTTAAAGGGGCTACAAAAAAAGTCCATCAGATCCAGTGCAGTAATCCTCAGCTTAAAGCACTCTCAAGAGCCCTTCTGGGAATTATCAGCATAATGAAATGTTTTGTGAAATGTCCAGATAGATTCCTCTACTCCACAATTTTATGGCACCATATTTATTTTCCACCCATTTTTTTAAAGTGAATTACTTTTCGACAGGATGACTTTACACTCGGCAGATTAACTGAACACATACTATTACCAAGGTTATAGAGTGGAAGGCAGAGCTCTGTTTGCAGCATTGTCTATGCGAAACTATAGGAAAAAGACCGGCCCTTAAACCACTGTGAGGCTTATGCAAATAGGATGTCTCTTGTACATAATTTCCCATACCTTTTAACAATTCTGTTACACATTTGCTAATCAATCTGTCGTTTTGGTTAAACGCTCCCCCCCCCACCTCCGAAGATAAAATGAAATTGCGCCAACTGAATAAACAGATATTTCTGGACACTAATATGAAAAGGAGTAGATGATATAAATTAACTACAACTGCCATTGGCACCAAATTAGTTTAACTGTAAGAGTCCATAACGGGGGCAGGGCACAAAATAACCTAAATTTCTTGATAGTTGTAAAAAAACCATACCAGCGGTATACAGGGCTATAAAGAACTATTTTAAAAATGTATCCTGGAAAGATAACATATTAATAAAAGTCTTTAGATTTTGGCATACAACATTCTTGTTTTATTTTCCTTTGACAAGATGACCTTTATTGTTCCTTTTCATAAATACACAGTAGTTTTACACTGCAGCTATGTGTTCCTTGGGGAGCATCCCAGAGTCCATAGATTTATTCAGATTTCCATCAATTTGTCATTTCTTTCTGGCAATTTTGAAGTCAGAAAGAGGAAAAAGTATGCTTGGCAGGGTTGCCAAAGGAAATGTCAGGAGGGGTCAGAGATCTGTTAGAAGATCCCAAGTTCAGTTTGCTCACCAACATGCCCTTTATCAGCATGTCATCTATGCCAGCCCTGGAGCTGGTATAGATTTATTCCATGTCATTGGTTTTAGCTGTTCCCTCTTTCTCTCAAAACAAACAAACAAACAAACAAACAAACTCTACAAAAACTAAGCAGGATCACATGTAGTTAAAATCAGTGCTGCACAGTCATGTGGATGAGAAATTCCAAGACATGCCAGGATTGTAGGTTAACCTGAGAAGTTGAAAAAATACCCTGAATGAAGGCAATGGCAAATCACTTCTATATTGCTGCCAAGAAAACCACACAGTCACATCCATGAAGACATCAGGAGTTGCCTTAAGAAGACTTCAAGGCCTCCCTTCGATTACCTCTGGTAAGATTTCATGCCCTCATCACCACATGATTATACTACAGCAAATTGCTCTAGATGGGCTGCCTTTGAAGACCATCTGGAAGCTGCAATTGGTACAAAATGCAGTGGAGCATGTGCTGGCAAATATCAACCTCCAGAAGCACATTACACCTGTGCTTAAGGCTCTATATTGGCTACCAATAGGCTCCTGAGTGCCAATAAAATGCTGGCATTAACCTATGAAACTCTTTATGATTTAGCACTAGATACTCCAGGATAGTAATTTCCAGCTATAACTGACCTATCCAGTATGTTCATAATGGGAAAAGCTTTTGAGGATTCTATATCTTTGGAAGATTAGAGGGACTAAAGGCATTGTTCTGTAACGGCTCCAACAATGTGGAATGACCTCCTTCCGAACATCAGGCTTGTCTCCATATAATGGCCTTCTTGAGAGCATTAAAACTGAATTGTTCCAGAGGCCTTTGGTAGTTGATATTTAATACTGTGCTTTAAATTTTGTTGTAAGCTGCTATGAATCTGCATGGAGCTGGTGGCATATAAATAAAATAAAATAAAATAAAATAAAATAAAATAAAATAAAATAAAATAAAGATATTGGCTTTTTCTAGAGACCCTAACTTTGGACTTTGGGGTAGAAATGCTCTGTCCAAGGCAAGCTATAGGTAGTAATAACATATATTCTGAATTTTTAATAATTAATCTCCTATACCAGGAATAGGTTATGGTAGCTATTAGAGCATCAATTGATTCAGTAAAAAAAAAACAAAAACAAAAAACTGAAAAGCCAACACAACGCAACATACGCTCCATATTCTATTTTCTGTGTTTCTGTTATATATTAGAAGATTGTTATAATTTGTTTTTGTTTGTATGGATTTATGTTTTCCTTTTATGTTTAAACGTGACATACCTTTTGGACAGTATTGTGAATATTTCATGGGAAGATCATGGTTAATGGTAACAGGCAATGATTCCTTACTATTGGCATTCATTTTGGCAATCTGAAATCCAAGAAAAGAAAGAAAAAGAAAGAAAGAAAGAAAGAAAAGAAAAAGAAAGGAGAAAGAAAAAGAAATGCTTAGATAACACAAGTCAACCTTTGGTTAACAAGAGATAGCTCAGAAATGATAAAAGCACATACAGTTTATAAATCCTTGGGCATGTATAAATGAACTGAACAATTATTTTGGTTCCCCAGAAACTGACAAAGAAACATGATTTCAGCAGGGAGTACACAAGTTCAGAGCTCCTTGACTGCTTGTTCACTTAATGCCAAACCTTATTAATTTTCTTCCATTATCCATAGTTTATCATGACTTTGCTGGATAGCCCTTCTTTTGTCCTTTCCTGATAAAATTAGCTGAAGCTTCATGCATCATAAGAGTTGACAAGACATCCCTTCCATGCTCTTCTAGTATAACATGTGAAAGAAAAGGTTATGCCTTTTCCTGACCAAAAATGAATGAGTTATCATCCCTGAGAGACCTGTTATAAGAAAAGGCAAGGAATGAGTTCTCAATTCAGATGTTACGCCAGAAACATGAAGTTCAAATGCTCAGACTATTGTGTAGCATTTTCCATCTTCCTCCAATTGTGTTATAATAACATATCCAGTTAGGATAACCAATGGCCCTGCTAACTAGGGGTGATGAGCACTCCAGTGCAATACATATGAAAAACACTAGATTGAGGAATGCTGTTTTTAGTTAGAACATAATATTTGTGTGTGTGTGTGTGTGTGCAGGCACTGTCAGGCCTAGCCCAAGGAACTCCAAGAGACAATGCAAATTCAGTTCAGCTATGTTAATTAGCTACAACCTCTAGCAAGAATCTTCCCAGCCTGAAACCCTAGTTCCCAAGTCAGCCAGCCACAACATTGTGAATTCCTCAGGGAGGTGCCAATTTCATCCTCTTGTATCTCCCATGCTTCTCCGGCAAGCTAAGAAAATGT